TAGTGGATTGCTTGTGGTCTACCACCACTGACAGCAGCAACAGCAGCAGAGGGATGTGTATAAGAGCAGCAGCAGCAACAGCAGCAGCAGCAGCAGCAGCATCGTAGCCTTTTGCTGCTGCTTCGTATATGGCTGCTATCCAGTAGCTAAACCCTAAACACTAAACCCTAATACAAAGCCCTATCTCTTGTAGCGGTCTGTATAACTATACAAAGGTGTTTTTAGGGTTTAGGATTTAGGGTTTAGCGTCAAAACACTTAAGGTCTCTCCTATACGGAGAATAGTAAATATATGTTTATATTTGTTGCTGCTGCTGCTGCTGCTGTTGTTGTTGCAGCAGCAGCAGCAGCAGCAGCATGAAAAACAGCGGCAGCAGGCCAGTGTTGCCTGCCGCTGTGCGGCGTATTGAAACTCGCTGCTACAAGCGAGGGTTTAGGGTTTAGGGTTTAGGGTTTGGCGGCTTCGGCTGGCGGGGGTAACCACCCCCTTCCTTCCCTGAACAGGAACTCAACAAATACAAACCCTAGGGTTTAGGGTTTACAATTGTTGTAGTCTAGGGTTTAGGGTTTACAGTGGTGTGGATTAGGGTTATTGTCTAGGGTTAGAGGTATAAGGGTTTGCGGGGTTGGGGTTTGTGCAAATTAGGGTTTAGGATTTAGGTTTCAGAGTATATGGGCAGAGCTAACTAGGGTTTAGGGTTTAGGGTTTAGGGTTTACGAGTCATTCATGAATTTATTGTATTTTTGTCTCTCCCTTCTCCTTAAGAGAGAAACCCCCGATGCTTCTCTTTCCTTTCTTAGTTCTTCTATCCTTCTTGCCACAAACTGAACACAAACCCTAAACCCTAAACCCTAAACCCTCGGAAACCGTCCACCGTACAGAATCTCTACTAAACCCTAAACCCTAACTCAGGGCATAATGGATACTTCTCCCGGTGGGTGTAGAGAGAAACATAAAAGGTTTTTTTCAGGCATTAGGGTTTAAGCTTTCTTAGGATTTTTTTAGGGTTTAGGGTTTAGGGTTTAGGGTTTAGGGTTTAGGGTTTAGTACCTCTGGGGTTTCGTATTTTTTTATACAACGATGAACTTGTTGGGCAAAACGACGACAACGTAAAAATGTTATTGTACGACTTGACATACAATCTACATATTCATCTAAATCCTCCCTAACTCACAAACCCTAAACCCTAAACCCTAAACCCTAAACCCTAAACCCTGAAAAACCTTAAAATCTAAACCCTAAACAGACGTATAATTCACGTAAGACATGACATACAATCAACTTATTCTTCTAAATCCTCCATAACACACAAACCCTAAACCCTAAACCCTAAAAAGCCCTAAACCCTAAACCCTAAACACTAAATATACTTGGACATACAATCCACATATTCATCTAAACTCTCCCTAATAAACAAACCCTAAACCCTAAACCCTAAACCCGCTTTGAACATCCACTCATCATAAACCATCTAAATTCTCCCTCCCTCCGAAACCCTAAAAACCCTAAACCCTAAACCCTAAACCCTAAACCCTAAACCCTAAACCCTTTACCTGCATAGATCTCTGATTTCTTTACCAATTTTTTCTTTAATAATTTTTAATTCTTTTCTCTCTAAACCCTCCAACTCTTTTATCTCAAAAAAAGATATTCTTGCTGCTGTACGACGAGCAACTATTTCAGGGTCTAGAGGGTCGTCTATAAATAATTTCTCCTGCTGCTGCTGCTGCTGCTGATGCTGCTGCTGCTGCTGCTGCTGTTGTTGGTTGTGCTCAGGCTGCTGCTGCTGATGCTCAGGCTGCTGCTGCTGCTGCTGCTGCTCTGCTGATTCAGGGTACACCTTCTCGGGAGGGTTACGGATGTGCTCCGGCCGACGAATTGCCGGAGATAACCAATTCAGCATCTTGCTGCTGCTGCTGCTGCTGTTGCTGCTGCTGCTGGTGTTGCTGCTGCTGCTGCTGTTGCTGCTGCTGCTGTTGCTGCTGCTGCTGCTGTTGCTGCTGCTGGTGCTGCTGTTGCGGCTGCTGATTCTGATGATCAGATGAGGATGTTCTTGCTGCTGCTGCTGCTGCTGCTCTTTATGCCTCTGTTGCTGTGGTGATTGTTGATGCTGCTGTCATTACCCGGTGTAGCGACCAGCTGCTGCAACAGGAGCAGCAGCAGCAGCAGCAGCAGGTGCTGCTGCAGCAAAAGTAGGTATGATGGCCTCTTTGACCTTTGCTGCTGCGTCAATGATGACATAAAAAAGAAGAAATTATTTTTCTTGTCTCTTATGTCTGCTGCTGTTGCTGCAGCAGCTGCTGCATGCAGCCGCCACGGTCACCGCAGCAGCAACAACAGCAGCAGCACAAGCAGCAAAGGAGTGTGTCCTGCAGCAATAATTGTGTCTTCTGTTTTAATTTGTCAAATAATTTAATTTAAGAAGACACATTAGTAACTGTTATCCTTAAACTCTGCTGCTACTGCTGCTGCTGCCGCTGCTGCTGCTCTTGCTGCTGCTGCTGCTGCTGCTGCTGCTGGTGCTGCAATGACGCCGACAGTGTATGGGCGGCTTCTTCAGCGAGGCATTTCTCGTGGTGTCCTTACAACTTCCTCTTACGGTTCTACAGCAGCAGCAGCAGTAACACCTGCATCAGCACGAGCAACTGCAGCAGCAGCAACAGCAGCAGCAGCAGCAGCAAGACCTGGAGCAGCAGCAGCAGCTGAAACAGCAACTGCAGCAGCTGCAGCAGCTGTATGTCGGAGCCTTCCATGCGACAACTATGCAGCAGCAACGAGGCTAACAGCATCGAGGCCCAATGCAGCAGCAACAGCAGCAACAGCAGCAACTGCTGCAGCTGCTGCTGGAGTGAGAACCACAGCAGCAGCAGCAGCAGTAGCTGCTGCTGCTGCTTCCCGTCGCAGCTTTCATGCTGCATCTAGCGCAACGGGGGAACAACAGCAGCAGCAAGAAGGGACTTGTAAGTAACGCCGCAGGTGTCTGCTGTTGTTGTTGCTGCTGCTGTTGATGCTGCTGCTGCTGCTGCTGCATCTGTTGTTGCTGCTGCTCTCTGTTTGCTGCTGTGATGTGCAGCACAATCTCCTAAACCCCCAATGACCGATGAAGTCCGTCACAACCTCCAAACCCTAAACCCTAAACCCTAAACCCTAAACCCTAAACCCTATTCATAGAAGAAACCTTGCAGTACCTACCTATCAAGATAGCTAGTTAGCTAGCTATTTCTCTCTCTCTCTCTCTCTCTCTCTCTCTCTCTCTCTCTATATAT